CCATACCGTTACAAGATCAATTTGTCCAACTCTTATCACAATTATTTATTTATTTTAGCCTGTGTGTGTCTCTCTTCTCTCTGGTAGGAAATGGTCAGTGTGGTTTTCCTTTGAAGTCCCCTCTGAAATGATTTGTCCCATTTGCTCGGAGGAATTGCATTCGCTGATGGTTGCACATGGTATTTGTTGTTAAGTGATATATGCTACAATATTCCTCCTTTGTTAGATTAAAGGAAGGCAAAATGCACTGATATTGCCTGATAACCAGGCACATAATATATATATGTATAAAAAAACATTTGGAAATAAATATTCATGAGAAAAATGTTCCAGCAAAACAAAATGCAAATTTAAAGTGATCATCCTTGAAGCAGAAGTTATTGGATCCTATTGAGTGCATTAAGGGTGACTGCATAAATGTAGTCTTTGTTGCTCAAATTTGCATTGTATTGTATTTTAAAATAAAAGATATATAAAGTGAAGGGACAGTCAATCCAATTATATTAAAAGTCCAAGGGTAAGAGAAGCAGGGACAAACTGACACAAAAATTTTAACATGCATGTAAATATGCTGACAATGACTATGCTAACATGTTTAGCAGATATAATATATAAAACCATGTTCACCATCTTAACATCTGCTAATTAGCACAATGCTGATGTGAGTATAATGTGAATGTGATTAGTTTTGCTGGTATTTGGTCATAAACCAACGAATTGGACAAATTAAATTCAGACTTTATGATGGCTAAAGGAAAATTGAGGGCTCACTAAAGTTGTTAGATACAGCGTCCGGCCACGATGGATATCTTAAGCAAATGTTGTGCCGACCCATCCTGTAAATGTTTGATATTTCAGTCTGAACCAAAGTGATGGACCAACTGGCAACATTGCCATCCCTAGAAACATGCCACTAACATAGCTACGATAAAAACAAACACTAAACATAACCGAAAATACCCCCATTGCTATTTTAGCATATTAACAGCAGGTCAACAAACCAGTATATACAAACTCATCATGTAGAAGGTCTAAGGAAAGATAATAAGTAAGTAGTTCATAAAAAGATGTAAAGATTCTTGCTCTACACTAGTTTGCTGTTATCTACTTTGAACTTGTTGAGAAAAGAAACAGGATAATACTCAAAACCTGATGCACCATAGTATCTTTTCGAGGAAGCCTGTCAGGACATTCTCAAATAGATGTGCCTTTGCATTAATTATGGCACAGGATATTGAAAAGAAAGCCTTCAAATCCATCGGGAGAGGTCATCATTACATGTGACCTTTCTCTGAGATGAGTTTTGCCTGTGTGCCTCTGCACTTAGTTCTTTGATTAGAAATATAATGTGAGCTTTTGACCATCATAAGACGACTGCATTCTCCAGCAGCTTCTCTAGATTTAAACATGATCACTTCACCTGCCTCCACTTGCATTATGTAACTAAAGTAGAAATCAAATGGAAGACCAGTGACTTACTTACATATAGACACATGTCATTAGCATTGAAAGACAAGAAAAATACACAATTATGCCCTTTAAATAGCAATTACATATGCATTAAGCACAGACACTATAGCCACACAGACAAAAAATACTGTACACATTAACTGTACACGTTTGCATGCATACACACAAACAATACACACATGCACAGTGCAGAGACTCCCTGCCTGCCATATATGATTTACATTTAGTGGTTGAATAATCAGTTGACATGCAGCTCAGGGAATTCTATGCTTAATAAGTGCCTCTTCACATAAGCTGTATGCTGGAGTTATCTCAAACATGAGACTGCTGTCAAAATGTCAATGAATCTCAATTTAACCACCAACTTAATCACATGGGCACCATCTCCTACAGGCAGGCTGAATGTGGATTTCCATATCGCAAGTATAAAGCAACTATTGGAATAAAGAAATCTGGGGAAACTGTAGTGTGCAGTTTAAAATGTTTTATAGGTCATTAGGCGTTCATTGTAATTAAGCAGGTATATTTAGAAATATTTTACCCTAGTAAACAAAATGTTGATTTGCTACATAAGGCAATATTATCTCAGCTTCTGTCTGGGTGGAGTTTTGTCATCTCAGCTGTCAGAACTGTTGTATAGTTTCTATTTTATTTAATATTTCATTTTCAATTCAGAAGAAAGCTCATTTCAGTGTGAATCTTTATTGACAGACCAATATTCTGGTCATGAAGACACTGATTGGGGCAATATTAGCAGGGAAATATTTAACCTCAGAAAATATTTTTAGAGATTAAATATCACATTGTAAGCGATAAGTAAGATTTCACGCTCATTAACAAAAATGTTCAGTGGACTAGAAGCTACAATTATCAGTTATATTTGTATCTTTTGGCCCCACATACAGTGTGATAATTGTCAGAGGATTAAAAAATATTCTGTGTGCCTTTTTCAAACCATAGAAATCGTTTCCAAAAAACATCTGACCAACATGCCCCTCCCTTTAAAAAAACTGCTTTCTGAGCCTCCCTTTTATTCCCTCGCTTCCCCTTCTCCACGCTCCCCACTGGTACCAGCCATGCTGTGTCTGTGGCTGCCAGCGCAAGCAACCCTTTTGCCTGGTGCCTGGTTGCTGTCTCTAGCTTGGAGGGGCGGGGGTTGACTTACCAACCCCCCTCCTGCACGGAAGAAGATACGAGGAGGCAGGGGAAAGCGGCGGTGAGGGATGCACAGTCACAGAGCTTTTTGCCTTTTAGGCGTGGTATGATCTGCCAGAGCTTATTTCCACATTTAGAGTACTAAGTGTCTGATAATAGCATGGATATGTGTATTAATTTGTATGGTTTCAATGTAGTATGAATACAGACAGTTGCTGCTAAAGCTGCCAGAAGGACACATCAACCATGAATTTCTTTCCACTTCACTTCTTTTTCCTCCTCGCAGTTTTTCACACATTTACAGGACTCATGAATTGCTGTGAGAGCACCTCCATTTGCCTTTTGGGTTTCCACAAGAGTACAGCTCCCACTTGGGAAACAGCTGTTAATAATAATGATAGTGAGAAAATACATTGCTTATGCCCCACACATACATAAAGTAGTCATTTTTCTGTTGTTTTTTCTTTTCTTTAGGAAGCCGACTTCCCTGCGATCTATAATGGAGTAGATATTGCTCGGCCTATTGATTGATGTCTCCTTCCCCCCACTTTGACATTTGCTTATCCTCGTCCGCATCTACTGCTATTGACGTTCGCTCTATCTGGACATCTTCCTAAGCTGTTTTGTCATTTGTCACCTCTTAAATAAAAAACGGAGGAGGGGGGAGTTGTCAGTGATAAGACTTAATGATACCAACCACATTGGTGGTTTTATACAAGCTTGGAGAAAGAGTACTGTCTGTGGAAAGCATATACTGTGCTTTGTTTCATTTCCCGCTCTATACCTCTTATGGATCCAATGAGCAATTTTACCAGGCATATTTCTATTTTTGCCACTAAGAAGCAGGCTACAGGAGACCCATTCTGCAACCTTTAGCATGCATTCACTCATAACTGTGGTCAATTTACCGCAAATTTACTGAAAGCAGGCGTTTCGGTTTAACACCTTTTAAACTAATGTATTTGAAGAGCCCACTCCACAGGCTCTCCTGTCAAAAGCTACTATTTTGCCCAACTTACCCTCAACTCTCCACTTCTTGGATACAAAGTGGTGAGATCAACACATCTACATCAGAGCTGTTGCTAATAAAACGCCCTCTGAGTGAGTTTTCAGGGTTTATACTTTGCCAGCTCTTTATTTGCAGTACAGTAAATGCCATGCTTCCTTAACATGCATTTCAACAAACACAGTCTGGCGCAGATTTTCTCCCCATGAGGTGGAAGACAGATTTTTCCTTTCCTCCCTCCCTCTTCCCATCCATCCCTCCCTCACCCTGGCTCCTGCAGAGAGGCTATTATTGCAGCTAATTATCTACAAATAGGCCCAATATGACAAACACAGCCCTGTACCAGTGCTGGCTAAGCGCAGGAATCAGTCTGAGTGGGAATAAAAGAATGAAAAGGAGGAGAGGAGAGGCAGACAAAGAACAGGACAAAAGTCACAGTGAAGAAAAAAAGGAAAAAAATGTGAATCAGAGATAATTGAGAAGAACGTGATAAAGACACAATGTGGAATAAGATGAGAGAAAATGTGGTGCTAAAAAAGATATAAGTGGGAGGCAGATGGGCGAAGAAAGGCAGTGACACCAAAAGGGAGACAGCATAGAAGGGACTAACACGGGAAAATGATCTTGTCTATACAGTGTGCGATGGTTGTTGCCAATGGCAACTGTCCTGCGATGCACAGGCCGCATCCATTTAGCTCCCAGCATGCCTCATGATCAGGGCAGCTCAGGGGTCTAAGGCTGTCTGTCTCATTTCCATAGAGAAACTCATTTACCAGGCAAGCATGGAGGGCTATGATGCATCAATGGGTGCTTGATTAGATCCTTACCGCTGATACATATGAATATTTATCAGTGTTGAATGAATACACATTTACTCTCCTTTCATCTGGATCATCCTAAGTGTCCTCCTGCTCTCCTCTTAATTTTTTCCAATGAATATGTCACAGGAGCATCAGGGCCCCCGACAAAGTGACAGCACTCAAGATAATCTGGTTATTGTTGCCCTGCGGTGATGATCAACACTTACTTTAAGTTTCACAAAATGCATCAGGCTTTTGTCTTGTTGTGTTTTATTTGCCATGGTGACAACGGCTCTTACAAACCTAAAGGAAATGAATACGGGGGACGGTAAACAAAGCAGCACACTTAAAAGGATGTGTGTTTGGAATTCATTGCTGCTTCAGATTAGTGTTTGGCTGCACAACTGAAGCTGCAGGTGTGATACGAATGCCAAGACAAGTTGAAATCACAGAGTTATTCCTGTCCCATGAGCCCAAACGCAGAAGATGCACACATTCACAAGCGCACCCACTCTCTCTCTTTTCTTTTTTCCAACACACAACGGATATTTTTAGACAGTATAACTTACATCACTAACTCCGGCCTCCACTATCTTCAGGCCTGTCTCCTTCTCCAGCTGCTGCTTCTGTTGAACTGCACGGGAGACAAAAGCAGAGGAGGTGTTGAGTATGAGCAGTGGATGACAAAGTAGCAGATTTTTCAGTTCCTGAGGCAGAACAAGCGGTCAGTGAAACTGAGAATGATGCAATGGATGTAACAGCATGAGTCAGATGTCAAACTGGTCATAGAAAATGACCGACCAACACACATACACACACACACACACACAGAAAATCTTCATCAAGAGGAGAAGCAAAACAATCTTCAGGGTTAGACAGCAAGCAGTCCACCAGCTGACAGGAGTCTGACATTGAGGAATGATATGCTGTCTGGTTAGTAGGCCTATAGGTACAGGGTCTACAGCCATGCTCAGACTGTGTGAGGCTGTACTAAATGCTATTGCCAGCTTGTTAACAAGCTCATAATGAAAAGGCTAAAATGCTGATGTTTAGGCCGGATTTCACCGGATGATATCACCGCTGCAACACTGGACAGATTTATTGTACATGTTCAATTTCTATCATGGTTGAATTATATTCTCCATCAGTGTTTACATTACTTTGTGATACGAGCGACTGAATGTGGGACAAAAAGAGTCGCAATGAGCTGAAGGTTTGCAGTGGGGATGGTTTTTGTTGGATGTGTGTTACTGAAATGGAGACGATGACTAAGCCTTTTTTCATCGTCCCACATTGGATTTACTTCAACTGTCATAGCTCCAAAATGCAAGCGTGTTAGCATGGTAACATTTGCTAATTAGCAGAAAAAACAAATGCCGAATGCCATTAGTTTTGCTACTACTTATACTGGTGAAATTGAAATTGTGACCTGTTGATAGCGCTAGATGAAAAGTTCAAGGATCACCAGAGTTATTGCCAGTCACTCTGAGGGGGACATGAATGTCTGTACCAAACTTCATAGGAATTCATCCAATAAATGTTGACCTATTTGATACAAAACCTCATGGTGTCCTTGAGGAAAAGTCAAGAGATCTTCAAAATCATTGGGCATCATCCTCTGGGGACCATGAATGTTTACAATTCACATATTTCAGTGTGGACCAAAGTGGTGAAGCGACCGACAATGATTGACCGACATTGAACCATGCTGCTAGCATGGTTGAAAATATAAAACACAAAAAAAGTTTACCAATAAAACTTGACCGATATCCTCACACGTTGAGTCAGACCCACTAAAGATTGCCAGAAAGCAGATGAAGTGCTTGTAGATTCACAGCACACAATAACTTGAGCTCCTGCCTTTGTTCTTGCAGTAATTAATACACCACCCGAGTTTGATCCTCACATCTATTGATCTAATCAAATATGGCATGCTATTTCCAAAGCTTTGTTCACGAAAGATATTCTCATGCAAATCAAACCAAAGTGAGGCAATGTTAAATATCCATCGTTCAAGATCACACATTTCACCGACTTTTTTTTTCCCCTCCTGTGCTTAACGCCCCTTCCTCACTTTGATGGAGACATTTACATTGAAAAACAAAATCAAAGGGGCCTTAATAGATTATGCCAAATTATAGAGTGAAACGAAAAAATGGAGCATAATTTTAATTGAGTTTGTTAGCATGTGAATGTGATTGGTAATGGGCAAAAGGAAAAAAAAAGTGAGAGTTAAAGAGAGAAAGAGAAAGAGAGCAGGTCCTTTAAATCCCATTTCCCCAGATGAAGGCTATGCAAATGACCCTGAAGAGCTGAACCCCACCTCACACTCCAAATTCGGCAAGGGCCTGTTTAATTAGTATTTTAATCTATCCCAATGATTCCACTCAGTCCACAATGTATGCAGCATTCCATCTAATTAAGCACGCTACTTTTAGGATAATCATCCATCTCCCTCGCTTTTCCTCTCTCCCCTTTTCTCTTTCTGGTTATTAAGGATCCTGCAAACATTGATCATCCTATCACCTCATCAACATGGCAGCAAAGGGGACATCTTATATTTTAGGTGTCAGCCAGGGTTTCCTGAAGGATGGCTAAAAGGAGGATAAAGGAGGCAGCGAGAGAGCTGGAAAGGTCAGATATACATTCAAAGTCTCTAAATTAGAGTGTCACATAAAAGAAGTAGACAAGAGGAGAAAAAAAGGAAATCTTCTGCCATTAGTGAGAGGAGGAAAGTCTTCAACTGGCATGTCTCAACTCACTTTCACGTCATGTTGCCACCCCTGTATTTAGTCAGACATATTGCCTCTCCATAGATAGCTACAGTACCTGCATGGTCCTGGTGCTATTTAGGAGGGGGGTAATGAGCGAGGTAATTGGGCCCAGCTGGGTGAGGTCGTAGGTGGTGGGCGGAGGCGAAGCTGCTAAAAGGTCACACAACGTTTTGGTCCTAATGAGGACCCCTCTGGGGTCGCAACACATCATGAGTCGAACTACGAAAGATTAGCCTGGAATCAACACACATATATACATGTCACAGCGGCTGCAGCTCAGGTTTTGACTGACAAGCTGACATTAACCGTTTTATGGTGAAACCAAAGAAGCCTGAAGGTCAGTATTTACTTTTGAATCAAAGCTGAGGACTCTCCAATCAACCTGAGGGAAAGGACAGCCCCACAACAGCCACTTTAAATGTAAATACAATGTACTTGCCGAGCTCATTAGCCGGTAACTGGAGGGATCTGGGCTGAAGAGAGAATCCAGCCAATGGATTGCTTGTTCTGTCACTGACTGTACAGATAACAGCCTACAGCATCTCTTTTTGGTCACCCCTTATATTAACCTCCCACTGGAGCTCACTCTCTTTCTCCGTTTCTCACAGACACACACACAGATTTTGTAAGCTTCAAATTAGCCACCAAATACTCCTGACAGACTGTGGAAAAGAGATGTCAGGTCTCATTTCAGAGAGGCTCCTCCAGCCATTTTAATAGGCATTGTCTGAGTCTATCTAGTCTGATCTCTAATATCGAGATCTGATCCCTGCTGCTCATTTGATCTTTTTGGTTTCCGAGTCATATTGAGCCATATCATCTGATGTTCACCAGGCAAAAAAGCACAGTAAAAAGGCTTTTTTTTTTTGTATGTTTGTTAAAATGTGCTGCATTTTCATGTGCCTTCAATTGAAATTACAAACCACACAGCAGTTTTAAAGGAGAATATAAAATGGATAATTGCCTGGGACTAAATTCAGTAAAAGTGGGTGATTCATATTTTGTGAATAAATGTCTTAACTGGATGACAGTGTCACTTTTGTACAATGCAATTACTATAAATCAAAAGTATTATAATTAAAACTACTTCAATTAGTAAAATACTAGCCATCACTCTGGGAGAGAAGGTGGCTGTTGAATCTCTAAAATAAGATCTTCATGAAATAAAATACTATTTATGGTCATATTTTTTTTCAGTAATAGCTTTTCAATGAATTTTCTTTAATTACCTCTCTATAGAGGAGTTTTTCATTTTTAGTGGCCACCATTGTTGCACTGGATTCAGATTGCCTACCTACGTATGAGGAATCCACAGAAAACAATGTAACCCAGTGTTTGTGTTTTTAATGTAATCTAACTGATATCAGCCTCACTGTTTATTGTTCACTGCTCTCATTACACTGTGTCCGAGCTGTTACTGCTAATGTAAACTGAACATTTCCTACTGCTGGTTCTTCGCATTGAACTAAGATGGGTTGTGAAGCAGTCACAGCAAGCACAGTATATTTATCACCAAGGTTAGAGTTGATCAAGATCGCTCATCCAAAATGTGTCTACAAAACAACGTTCATTTTCTGCATTTTTCAGCTGCAGATCATTTTCATCATATCTTTGCAAGGGAGTAATGGTACAAGAAGGAGCAGCCACAGTGACTTTGAACTTTACTGTGCCCTGCTATTGTGTGAAAAACTATAAATGCTGTGTGCAGCATGAAATCAGATCTCTTTTGTACTGTTTTTCTTTATTCTTTATTAAAACAACATGAGTTTGTTTGACTGCACTGTAAACAGATACACCAGTTGCTCTTCTGTTTCACCTACTCAACCAGGACTGAAATCTTAAGGGTTTAAATTAAAACTTTAAATAAGTAGTAAGTAAAAAAGTAGTCTCATTCACATGCAGTAAAATATATAGTATATATATGTGTATATAGTCTTTATTACAGAAACATAAAAAACCTCTGAATTATTTCAGCTGGAACTGTGCCTGCAGCCAAAGGACATATGTCATTTAAAAAAAATCACACTGTGTTATCAAATATTAGAAGTGCACTGAGGAGTGTGCTTTGAGTTAAACCACGATCACAGTGTCTCTGTTAAGCATCCAAACATTCAGCCAGGTGAACAGAAAAAATAGAAGAACACTTCAAAAACTCATCAACGTGTTGTCGAAGGAGAGGAAAAGGCCATTTCAATCATCAATCTAAAGAAAGATTAAAAAAACCTTCGACTAGAACATTAATGAATGAAAATGCAGCAAAAACATACAAGCACACATTTAAGCTTGATTTTATGTGACCTTTAAATTGCTCTGTAGCATATGCGCTCAACACAAATTATCTTGTGGCGAGATATAATTTGATTAAAATGTTGCTTTTCTCTGCCATATGCTGCAAACTGAAGCAATTGTGCTCTCCTCATCATAGATTCTAATAGCAATTCAGAAATGATTATCATGAAGTCATCAGAGCTTAAAGTCATGAATATATATATTCATTTTTCTGATATACGACAGGGTTGTTATTGTTAGAAGCAATATAAATTCAGCATCGGGAGACAAATCACAGACTGTAGGCTGTAAGTATTTTGTATTTCAACACGACGCAGCAGCCAGCGCTGTCACATGATCGTAATGTTGCCTCTTTGGCCAAATGGGGGTATACAGTTGACAAAATGCATATTTCACCAGCCTCTGATTGATCTGTTAATATTGAATAACATCCACATCCATTCCATCTATCTCCCCCCTCCCTCCCTTGCTCCTCAGGTCGTCTATTCACCACTTCCATCTCTCCATCCGTCACTCCAACCAAACAAAATGAAAGTGTTTATTGCAGAGGAGGGCTGACGCTCACGCCTCT